TTGACTCACGTATGCTAAAATAGTAATAGGCAGAATATTGAAACGAAATTAAACACTACGTTTCTAAAACACGAAGATTGTTTCTTAGAAAATTCGGTTAACCGTTCTTATGAAAATGTTTTCTTTTGCTACAAAGACCTAATAATTAAAAAACAATAAAATTAATAAGAAATAGTTTAATAAAATTACGTAAGTCTTGTATCAGATATTTATATTTTCAACTTATGTGTGGATAGAAGTACATTTTCCATTTTTTTCCTTCTGATAATCTTAGGCCATAAATATAAAAGTTTTATAACATGCTTTCGCTTTAACGCGGTATAAAAGGGCTTTATTTTATAAAACTGATTGTAACAATATCGAAAGTTTGCGGACCCTCACCCAAATTGCCGCAGGATTTGGGTTTTTACGGCGATATTGGAATTTGAAAAGATTTTAAAAACTCATTTTAAGTTTTCATTATTATCTTATACTAGCTGTTCCCATGCGACTTCATCCGCATAGAATTATAACAATAATATTTTTTTGTTCACATCTGTCAAATTATCAATTGCAAATGTCAAAATGACATGACGCTGACAAACCATGGCAACCTTGCTTTCTTGATGTTGGCAACAACTTATGGTCTCTTTCCCACATTAGGGTTTTTATCCAAAATATTTACCCTAAGTTTAACGGCGTGAAAATATGTACCCTAAAGCGTGACGTAAGTGTAGGGCTTTTTATTAAAAAGAGAATTATTCAAAAATATTCCGTAATTGCTGACATCTTAGGCAACAAAGAAGTGTGTTTACGCTTTATTATAATAGTATAGATTTTAGTTGCTTCATGTATGCTCTCTCCATGTTTAAGTGATGAAAATTAGACCTACTCCTACTTCACAACTGTCTTTGATAAAGCCAGTTACACCATATCATATATACTGGTCTAAAAAACAGTCCCAGATTTTTTATTACACATCTTTATACACTGTTTTCATCCGACGTATACGAAATAAGGAATAAAGATATATGTGTAAATATAACACTACTAAAAACAAAATTAGCATGTTTTTTTTTATCAAAGGCGATTAAGGTGCTTCGTTATTTTCCAATACTATATCTTCGGGTTTCATTGTGAAATGTACTGAGATTGTGCAACCTGGCGTAAGACGCGAAGCGAGCAATGTAACGTTTTTATTTTAACAATGCGATTTTACAAATTATTGTAAAATTTTAAATAGTGTGTGTGTGTTTGTCAGCAAATAAAGATTTTATCAGTAATAATTTGCATTTATATAAGTACTAGCTTTCGCCCGCAGCTCCGTCCGCGTGGAATTAAAAAAAAAGATAATTATGTAGCCTGTGTGTCCTTCCAGACTATCCTCTACATTTATGCCAAATTTCATCGTGATCCGTTCAGCCGTTTAGGCTACAAACTCTAACAAACATCTATCCATCCATCTAAACTTTCGCATTTATAATATTAGTAAGACATAGTAAGACTAACAAGTTGAACAAAACTTCAAGTTCTTGTCCCTTCGTAGTAAATTTGATTTCCACCATGTTTGTACATTTCTATTTAGTTCTCGATCGTTCTGAGACCTTCCAAGCTTGTCAGAATGTACACACAACCTATTCATTTCACTGAAATAAAGGGGAAAATCATATGTTTATTTATTTAACGTTCAGAGTAGAAACTCGTCAGCGAATTTCCGTGTCGTACGAGCGTAGTTTAGTGTTTGACCTTGTTAACTGTCCGTTGGGAAATCTCCGACTGTCTCCTTTATATATCTTGTATGAGATATGAAGGTACACGAGGCGTAATCATTTTCTTTGCAGGATCTTTCATCAAGATTAAAGAGGTCGGAATGCCGGAAGCGAGAGTGAAATAATTTTATTCCGTAGTCACTTATCTTTGGTTATTTTTATATTCAGAATACATGACTTTAGTAAACATCTTATTAGACAAACGACGAAATACTGAAACGACATTTAAATATGGAATAGTGTTCATTAATATTCAATTAAAATATTGACGTACGGCACTCACGGAGTGTTAGGGATTCGTTTCAGAATTTGGCCGTTAGTAAGTTATGTACAAGCCTCTAAGATTCGTGATGTCTGGAGACTTAGGACAAGGAATGCCGACCCCAAGTAACTGGGAAAAGGCGAAGATAGAAGAAGAAGAAGTAAGATATCTACGAGAAAATTATTCTATTTAATTATCAAAAGGGTAAATTTGTTAAAGGTGTCACAAATAAAAATCCAGATTCATTCACAGACCGGGCTTACTGAATTCGCTTCCTCTACAAATGAAGTTTTAATTGTACCAATTCCGATCGGAAAATGGCTGATAGCAGTTTAAAGGTTTGGCAACGAGCAGTTTAAGTTAGTCTAAAACGAATATGCGAACGGCGAATGGACTAGTATGAATTCAATACTTGCGTTTAGAACTTTATCTTTAAAAACATACGAATAAGAGAGTACGTCTAAGTTAAAATAAGATTTTTAGCTAATTATGTTACTACCTTTTAAATAACATTACAACACCCAGTTCACATTAGGGTAGTAATTTAGTAGAACACCAAGTCATTTAGTAGTTAAAATATTCTCTACTACCCAAAAATCGTTGGTAATACAGTCGCAGTAAAAGTGAGTATTGGTTGCAAGAAACAACATTAACTGATCAACATGACTAGAGTTTCGTACTTCAACTATAGTGACAAGTGATAGGGGGCGCTTCTTACCGAAAACAGAAAATTGATCGACTCTACGCGATTTACTTATCAACTCGACTAGAATGTTGCTAGGACACGTTTATATACTTAATACTATATTTTTTTTTTATAATATAAGATGGCAAATGAGCGAGCGGCCACCTGAATCCACCAAAATGGCGAAGCGACCGCTGCCCGTAGACATCCGCAAGTGCAGATACGTTGCCTACACTAGATTGACGGTGGAGGAGACGCACAAAAAGATGACATTTCCCATGCGTCTCCTCCACCGTGAAATTTACTTTTACTTCCCATCCTTTCCTCTTAAGAAAAGGGTGGAAAGAGAAACGGCTAAAACGGCCTATGGCAACGCACTCATCAGACAAAACGCAGAATAGCTCCTGTTCACGCCTGTTTTCATTGTGGTCGTGGTATTACATCGGGGGAGCCGGCCCATTCGCGCGAAGATGTTAAAGCGGGCTCTACCACTGTAGATATATAATTACTGGTGCGAATAAGTCTTTAGTAATTCAAGTGTGAGTCTATCTCGAACAAAATTCGCTCACAAAATAACGATTGTTTGAATACATGCAAATTCCCGTAACACATTTATCAAGACAAATACAAGTTGCCTATTGAAGCAACTCATTGAATTACCTCAACTTCTGCATAAACTTGTGTACAATTAACGCGATCGGAGCGAAGTAATTTCTCGAATAATTTTGAGCGTTGGCCAGTTTCTGTGAATTATTTTATGAATATTAAACTATGTTTCCATTTTAAATGCTGTAATCTAAGAAAACTGATTTAATAATAGTTACCGCGGCTCCGTCTGCGTGGAATTAAAATAAGTAACCTATATATTCTTCCAGACTATCCTCTACATTTGTGTCAAATTTAATCGAAATCCGTTCAGCTGTTTTGGCTACAAACTCTATCAAACATACATCCATTGAAATTGAAAAAAAATAATCAAATCAATCATTGCTTAAAATTAGCAACGTAAGTAGTGCAAATTAAAATCAATCTATACTAATTAATAATATTACGTGTGTGATATATTTGACTGACTTCTCAAAAGAAGGAGGTACTCAATTCGTACGTATATTTTTTATGTGTGTTACGGCATAACTCCGCCCCTGGTAGAACGATTAAAAAAACTTTTTCATTCGAAAGGTAGTGCTTGCAGGTGTGTAGACACCGACATCAAAGTAATAATAATTGTATAATATAGATATAACAGCTACAATAAGGGAAGCTTATATAACCAAAGAATTATTTCGTTCCTTTTTAGTGTATTGTTTTTTTGAGAATATTTTGTTTCTATTGTATTTTGTTTGGATGTCGGTTTTTTTATGTTTTAATTCAATAACGCATTACATTCCAAAAGACATATATTCATATTAGTGTATAATTTATGACTATACATTATATTATCCTGTACGAAGTTTTTTTAAGGTAAACATAACTAAAGGATATTGTAGTCCTGCGGCATTATAATAGCGAGGACTTGACGCAGCGCCCAAACCACTTGAAAGGGGAAAGCCTTAATTGTACAAACTCTTGTAAAAGAAAGGGTATTGTTTGTGGGTTTGTAGGCGGCCGGTTAGTTTTATATCTTGTTTGTGTTGTAGTATTTTAAGAATTTTTGCAAGATTTTTCTTTATTTAAATGCTGAGGCAAAAACAATTGACTACAAAAATACCAATAGGTACTATTGTACACTTTTTTTTTATCGCTGGGAAAATGAATTTACGCATTCCCCGCCCCCCGTTACCTGGGGCCGGGGTATGTGGGACTCGCCGGCCGAGAAGATGGAAAATGGCCGGAATACCCACTAAAAACCCAGCGGTGTTCCTTCTATCCGCCAGTGGCTGGGTCACGGGAACGAGGTACACTAGGTTAAGCTCATGATTTCGTCTACGCTGAATAAAAGAAAGTTTTAATTATCGCCTTACTTAGTTATGTAGCTTTTTAACGGTGGACGAATTTTTGAATTTGGGTTGATAGTTTTCAAGTTTATTAATTACATACAAAAATGTAATTCTTTCCTCTTTAATATTCTCTGTTGTTTGTGTCCTCGTCCGCGCGGAAATAAATATGTAAAGTGCATACCCTAAATACTCAGTGATAACGTAGCTACTTATCGGTGAAAGTATTTTTGAAATCGGCCTAATAATTTTTGAGTTCATTGCATACAAAAATGCAAATCTTTCCTCTTATAATATTAGAAGTAAAGATTAAAGAAACGATAGTGTTGATATATGATTGGTTCTTCAACTAAAAGTATTTTTTATTGCAGTGCCTATGACCCAGCTGGTTGCAGTGGCCGGAGAGCCGGTGTACTTACCATGTGACATCGCCACGCAGGATGAAGACGACGCGGTATTGCTTGTCTTATGGTACAGAGAAGATCTTGGAACACCCATATACAGGTACGATATTATCAGGCAGTTTAAAGTGCTAAGGAGTAAGCGTTATTACTAAGAGCTATAAAACCGCACTTTACAGTGTGTGTGCTTGTTCTAAAAGTGTGAACAATAATTAAAATCAATGGTTTTCGGTTTAACTAGTCAAACTAATAATTTCCTAGATATAAGTGTTAAGAAATCTGTACCGTGCCGGAGTAGTGGCGCAACGCTAGATAATTGGCATACACGTCCCATCCCTATGACATCTGTCAATGTCAATCTGACGCATTAAGAATAAGCGTGCTATTCTGGCGGGAATTGGTAGTCTGAGTATTGAAGTATGTTGTTAAAAATTATGTTGTCTATAATAAGAAAACTTAAGGGAAAGCAAAAATAAACGCATTGACAGTTTTGTTCCAAAGTAACCTCTAACCTGTATAGCTAATTTCTACTATTCTTCTGGCAACCATAATAAAATATTCTTGATAGCGTGGACGCTCGGGAACGTGACTTCGGTGTGGCAGAACGGTGGTCAGATGAGAGCGTATTTGCATCGAGAGCGTACTTCCTACCGGAGAGAAGACCAGCAGAACTGGGAGTGGACCGCGTCAGAGCGTCCGATCAAGGAATATACAGGTGTCGAGTTGACTTCAAACAGGCGCAAACAAGAAATTCTAGAGTCAACTTGACAGTTATAGGTAAGATTTTTTAAAATCTAGAACCAAAGAGATTTAAAATAATATATTGAGAAGGTATAGATGACACTTCACTTTAAAAAAATCGATATTTCAATCACATATTTTAACGTTGGATTATTGTCAGACACTACAATTTGGTGGGACAGGCTCTTAGTGTTCTATTAAAAGTAACTTGTATGTAACTGATTCTCTTAATATTGGCACTGTCCCAACACAGTGTTTGTAATGAGTGATTAATATTCTAGAGAATTGAGAAATAGTCTTCCATTTTTACTCTGTCCTTATATCTTTATTCTTCGACACATGAAGATATTTTTTAATATAAGCGAAACTGATAAGTTCCGGTATTTTTTAAACAAGAGGAAAAAGTTAAAGGAAGGGAGATAGTATCTGATATAATAATATTAAACGCTTTAGAAATATGTTGAGATCAGACGATCGTGTTGAGGTTTAGATATCAGATTCTAAAGTAACGGACCCTTTTTCTCCTTATTTACAAAAGTCATTTAATCTCAGACAAGATCCAATTTTTAAATCTTGTTCATTAGATACGAAACAACCAATTTTATCACAAAGGGAGGCTACGGTAGGTATCATATTAACAAAAAAGGTCCGATAGAATTGAAAAGATTACAATTTTATAAAGACCCAAATCCGAATCCAATTTACTTTATAAATTTATCAAATCGATTAGGGGTAGAAATATACAATGTTTTCAAACGACAACAAGCAGTAAATAATAGTTTTACATTATTCCTTACATGTATATTACTAAAAGTAGCTGTTCCCGTGCGTCTTTATTCGCAAGAGATTTCTATTTTTCAATTCATTCACATCCTAAATTAAATAACGTGTATAACATAATAGCCTTAGCATGACGTAAGTGTAAGACATTTTATAAAAAAAAAAAAAATCAAAAACATGCAGTGATTACAGAGATCTTACATAACAAATAAGTGTGTATTTACATCTGTTATATTAGCATAGATGAATACAGCGAAAAAGCGACGTTCAAGATAACATCTGTTTTTTTTTAATTCCATAATGTACTAGCAATCGGTCTCAAATATACGTCTCATGTCTTTTATGTGATATGGATGAAGCATATTCAATGGAAAAACAATTAAATGTTTCCTGCTTCTAGATAAAGGGTTCTAATATAGAAATAGAGCCTTTTACTTGAAATTCACTCTTCAACTTCTCTAAAGAATATTAGTTCAATCTTAATAATATTATAAATGCGAAAGTTTAGATGGATGGATGGATGGATGGATGGATGTTTGTTAGCGTTTGTAGTCTAAACGGCTGAACGGATCTCAATGAAATTTGGCATAGGTTTAGGGCATAGTCTGGAAGAACACATAGGCTACTTTTTATCCCGGGGAATAGTTACGGTTCCCTTGGGATTCATTAATTTAGTTTTTTAATGTTTACTCGATAATTCTGCAACGGTTCAACGTATCATATTGAAATTTGGCACAGATATAAAACAAAGTCTGGAGTACACATGGGATAAGGTTCATCCCCGAGAAATATACGGTTTCCGAGGGATACGTAGCTTTTTGTTATTTATATAGTTCGTATGTTTTCTAATACTACGCGGACGAAGTTGCGGGCAACAGCTCGTCAAAAATAAACATTTTATATTCAATTGATTGTAATTAAACGACAAATTTGAAAATAAATTTGTACAGCGGTAAATCCGTACAAAGCTTTTGTGTAAGCTTTAAAAAAATTAACATGAAGCAAAACCAAGCTCTAAATCCGCTTAGCCGACTGGTTGATCCATAAAGTTACTGACGGTAAATCTGACAATAATAATCCATAATAACCGTTGTAAAAAACTGAACGATTGAAAATATTTGTATTAAAGATGTTTCGTAAAATTATTCAATACAAATTACTCATAAACACCAAGGTCATAAATTAACAGCATTCACAAATGTATATTGATCTCTTTCTCTCTCTACACTGTTACATTTTTTATCTCTCTCATGTAACGAAATTATAGCAAAGTCACGTTCTCCTTTAACATAACATTCTGCGCTATTAAATTTGATATTAACTAGAAAAAGAACCACTATATTATATCTAAAATACAATTTTTATACCTACAAACATTTATCAAAATGTGTTTAGACGTGTCTTCGTTTGATATGAACTAAGTAGTTTTGAATTAGATTATGTAAATGGCGGTACAATCGAGGCGGAGTCTTGGCGACGGTACAAAGAGCAGTCCATTGTAATGCACTTGCGGTAACCCGCTTGCCAACATATCAAATCACTACATGTTTCCTTTCACCAGCATACGTGGATAGTATAATTTGAAAAAATAAAATGACATTTACAAATAGATTTAAATGTCTCTATGACTATAAATTCTCAAATTGATTTTATTTGAGTAATTTTTCTAAGTATCAAAACGTTTTAATCCTATTGTGCGAAGTAAACAAACTAAGGGCCTGTCCCACCACTAGCTGATAGAGGCTCAGATAGCTTAAAATGACGCCACTGTCAGATAAGGTAACAAAATCCGTTATTTCCATCACAAATTTTACACGTTGAATTGTTAACTAACAATTTACAATTTGGTGGGACAGGCTTACACTGGTACACCAACAAATCTGCAACTTATTACTAAAAATAAATGACATTACTGTCTTATATGTCTAGTATAGAACATAACATCCTTAATTTATACAACTAGATGTTACTTTGGAGGAAACACACAATTTAAGCTGGTAAATAAATTCACAGTTATATAATTCTGAAACCAAATCACAGAAAAGACAGTTAAAACTAACTCTTGGTCAACGTTAACAGTTGACTTGCTAATTAAAATAAACGCGGCGAACAAATCGATATTTATTAGCAGAGAAAGGACATTCCCTCGAGTGTACTCCACGTGTAGACACGATGCTTCCTGCTTACGTTCAGACGTGTTAACCTACTGTAAAACTAATTTAATGAGGTTAATAAATGTTTACAACTTTGCAAATGTAATGGAGTTTATTTCAGTAGGAAAAATATCTCATGAGAATTTGTTTTAATTGGATATAACGTTTATTTTGATGTTAAAAACAAGATGAGTTAAAAAGAAGAACACTTTTTGCAATACCCATTCTAATTTCTTACTCTTCTCTTAACAGTTCCGCCAAGTAAAATGGTGATAACGGACGATAAAGGCGATGTGAAGCAAGCTATTGTCGGTCCATATATAGAAGGGGATACGTTTACGTTAAAATGCGACGTGACTGGAGGTAAGTAATAGCTTTTTAACTAATAATAAGTCACTCCCTTCTTGATCATGTCATCCCGCAATCTATCTAGACCTACCACTACATGTATACCTTCACATTTATAACTTAAGTTCTTCTCGTTACGTGTTTCATCTTACATAACACGAGCTGTCGTCCGCAAACTTCTTTAGCGCGGTTTTTTTAAACGTCATCTATCATATTCCCATGTGCATCTACCGTTTACCAGCTATCTTGCAGTCAAAGTCCCATCAAAATCGGATGACCCGTTACGTCATTTAGACAGCGCGGAATTTAAAAAAAGTATAATATGCCCATCTATGTCAACTACCCTTTAGTGAACGTCCAGTCGAAATCGGCCCAGTCCTTTCAGAGATTGCCCAGAACAAACGCAACTTGCGTACAGACAAACATTTTCGTTATCAGCAACTTGTATATAACTATATCATCTTCCAAAAATCTGTAATGTTTCCTTTGATATCACAGACATGCCAATTTTATTATATGTACAGATATAGATAACACGTTAAAACGAAAGTAAATACTTTGAACCAACGATGTGTTAGCGAATTAGAGTCCGGTTTTTACGGAACATGGGGTTACGTTAGGGGTATTAATTAAAAGTCGACACGACTGCAGTGGGAAGAATTTATTGCTCTCCCTAAATCATATTACGTTAGGGTTACGGTGTGAACGAATGGCATAGCCGATGTCGAAACGTTATTAGCCATTACGAAGGTGTTTAAAATTATTGGAATGGACCCAAAATTCTAATGCGATGTTCAAACTCCGTAACGCTTTGACCTTAATTGAAGAGAAATACATATACCTATTTACAGCGGGGTACGACATTAATTATGCTATACAATTCAATCCTCTTTCATATATTTAAAGTAAATTCTTTACGTATTTCATAATATTTTTAGTATAGTCAAAGCTCTTTTATTTCTTGGGTAATACTCGATACGGGTTTAAAATAAATAACACTATATTGTCCCCTAATTTTTATTTTATTGTCAATAATGTTCATCATTTGGTTGCCTCAATAGGCGTGATAACTTCTTAACCATAATTAAAATTAGTTGTGAATAATTGAAATAAAGCTTAACGATATCCATGTCCGAAAACCTAAAAAGTTGCACAATGTTACTAGTGCTAGAATCATTAATGACGTCACAATGTAGGTAGACCTCGTCCGTGGGTGAAATGGTTCCGTGATGACGTGGAAGTGGACACGGCCGCGGCGCCGCTGGCTGCAGGCGTGCGTGGCGTGCTGCACGTGGGCCCGCTCAGCCGGGCTGATGTCCGCGCTACACTCACCTGCAGAGCCTCCAACCATCTTAGAGCACATCCTATTGAAACTACCCTCACTTTGGATATGAACTGTGAGTTAACAGAATCTTTACACCTTTTTAAGGAACCTGGATACTTTTATGCAGGATGTGTCAAGTCTAGAGATTTAACCTGCTTTATTTTTAACTTTTAACAATGTCCACAGATGTCACCAACACCTAATAAAACTCTAAAACCCATTATGTAATTACGTCTCTATTTAAATTTCTTTTCTAATTTTGAATTCAATCATATATTTGTCTACCCTTTAAATTGAGGCAAAATCATTGTAATAAATGAAAAACATGTAAATAAAAAACAATAAAAGTTTCCGAGTCTAGCAATTTTTAACGCTACGTCATTTAAGCATCAAGATAAAATTACGCATCAAGAACATCAATCTAAAATCAGGCGTATGACAAGTAAATTATTACCGCAGTAAATGTCTTGAGTTTATAGATTTATGAATATTAGTATACTTGCCTACTTCATTTATAAGAAAATGTTACTCAAAGAACATAAATGTTATAGTAAATTTATGCCTACGTTAGAAACCGCGTCTAATTAAGTGGTCAATAAAGGAGCCCATTAAAGTACATCCAGTATGATAATCTACAATTGTAATCCTTTAATTTGTGTAGTAAGTGTTTCCCGTTGGGTCGTTAGGACCACTTAATGCTCTAACTATTGAGATTTCCCATTGAGCAGATTGAATTCATACAATCAATCGATCTAATAGGAAAATTATAGACCCGATTGATCATTGAGACGAACGGCTCAACGGGAAACACCCAATGTGGTGAGGAAAAATTATTTTTCCATATGTTTTTACGTGTATTTTAATGTATCATTTTGTTTCAGTTCCACCATTAAGCGTGCATATTCTCGGGTCAAACCAACCGTTGTCAGCGAGTAGGAGATATGATTTGCTCTGCCAGAGCTCCGGCTCCCGCCCGCCTGCTTCTATCACATGGTGGAAGAATGGACATAGGATAAACAACGCTAAAGAAACGGTTAGTGGTTACATTGTGTATCTCATCATTTGATGATGATGATGATGATCATTATTAGTGTTATCATGTATGGAAAGATTACCAATATTGTTTTGTATTTATCTTAGCAATAGGCATATATGCTTGTACAAAACCATCGGTCGATGAAAGAGGAATACAAACGACCTACTATAGAGACTAACCAAAGCAGAAATGGTAAATCGAATTTGTCTTCAAAGATAATTTAATTACATCAACAAAAGCAAAGCTAATCTGTTATCAAACGATCGCAACTTTCCTAATCAGCATTACCATGAGAAACAACATCGCGAAGTCGACTTAAAATAAGAGCACGTAAAAGTAATAAATGTAGATTGAACGGCGCGGCGACTGCTCGGGGCCGACTCAAATCGCTCGTAAGGGAGCGCCGCTCAGCGATGGCAATGTTTGTTGTCGCGGGTGACGCTTCTTATTAAAGACGGAAGGAAATTAAAACTGACTGATAAGATAAATTTTAAGTTCTACAACTTTGGTAGAAATCTATTTTCGTCATGGTTAATGTCTTACCAAATTGTAAATTGCCTGATAAAAATCCAAATGATTTTGTTCCCTTATTTGACAGTGACGTCTTTTAAGCTATCTGAGGCTCTATCAGCCAGTTATGTGAGAGGCCCTATTACTTGTTTAATGTTTTACTTATGTTTAAATTCATTTCTATCATGTTCGACTAAAGTCTCGGTATTTAACTCGTGGTACTTTAAATTTAATTTTAGTTTTAAAATAAGAAAGTATGTGCAAACTCGTTCGTGAAAGTAAAATTGTTCTGCGTGAATTAATTAAATTCGTTGATCAGCAAGCATCCTCGCCGCCAGGAATTAATATTAACGCGGCCCGATTCAATATAATTCAACCTTTAGAGACTCGAGCAACGGCTGCCCTAATTTATTATTTACCTGAAAGCTTTCATAGAGCCTCTTCAATTTATTATCACGGTATCAGTGTTTGGTGTAATTTGACGTCAATTTAACGTCAGTTATTAGTCAAATTGAGGTGGCATTCAAACTGTTTGATTTTGATATTATTGTGCTCCGTTCCTGTTAAAGGTTGCTTATTATTTGATTTCATTTTAATTTGATTGGTTGTTTATGACATTGTTGGGTAAATCTATGTAACTTAGTAATACTTAATATGTATACCAATTGTATTTATTACAAAAAGTACATTGTGTAATAAAATGCAATCAAAACAAACATCAAATGAAAACATATATTGATGCTTTCAATTGTAATTTCCATAAAATACCACTTTAGAATGTTCGAGTACGAAAGATAGCGGATACGATTTTTAACGTATTTGGCAATTGAGGGAATATATGTCTTGAGCCCAAAGCATTCCCCGAAAAAAGGGCCAATAAAAACATTAAAATCCTCGATACTGAAGAAGACTCAATACACAATGTTTTTGCAACTTCGAAATATTTTGATTTTAACGCAACAATATTTCATTAAAATGTATACATATACAGTCTTGGATAAAAATAATGTTTTTAAATCAAATTTTACAAAATCGCATTGCTTGGTTAAAGAAAATTTGCATCATATCTTCCATAATCTATAACACTATTATAAAGAGGAAAGATTTGTATTTTTGTATGTATTGAAATAACGCAATACTACTGGGACAATTATTAAAATTCTTTTGCCTAGAAAGGTAATGTATCTTTGAGTAACATAATCTTTTTATTTTAAAATTTCACGCGAATGAAGTCGCGCGCAACAGCTAGTCTGCAATTACGTCCGCATGAAATTCATATTATTCAAAATATAACCTATGTTACTCGCCAAAAACGTAGCCATTTATTCGTGTAAGAATTTTTGCAATCGCTTGCTTGCTGTTTTTGAGGATTATCAATACATACAAAAATCCAAAAACACTATTCATTCCTCTTTATAATATTAGTATAGGCTGCATAGTTTTTTACATATGTTTCTTGCCTACAGCTGTCATCTGATGGAAACACAACGACGTCGACTGTGTCTTTACAACTGACCAAATCAGATGCGGGAGCAAAGCTGGCCTGCAGAGCCTCCAACCCTCAGATGCCATCAGTCGCTGCGTTGGAAGACGACTGGTTGTTAGACATACAATGTTAGTCGAGTATCGTTAAGATTTCCTTTTTAATTTACATTGAAAACACGAGCGTGCGCACCTTTGAGTAAACTATCGCACAACTGTTGTGCCATTGTCGATTGTTTTGCAGCTTCAAATGGTTAGTTACGCAACTAAAAATCGAGTTTACCACCACATAAGCTCATAGGAATCAAAGCTGGACAAAACAGTTGTGCGATACTTTAGTCTAAGATGTGGCAGCGTTCCTTAGATTAAATTTAAAATTCTTAGATTGAATTACAAAAAATATAAGGCCTTTAACATGACACAGGATGAAGTTTGTCTAATTTGTTTAAAGAAAACCTGTAAACATCTGTAATGTCTGTATTCTGTGAGAATGTAACGATCTCAAAAAAGGATTGTTACCTACGTCAGCTACTTCTGGTTTTTTAAACTATTTTGTAGACGATTCTATATCAAAATTATTATTATAAAAAATGTATGGTTGCTGAAATAATGTTAACAGCAACGTTCACCGCTTAACCACAGTGATTGTTTAGTTTGTTAGCATGCCACGCGTTGCGGTATTCCAATTTCATTTTGCAATTTATTTTGATACACACAATAAAATTAAATAACTGTTGTGCAGTTTTTGTTTACATTTGCATACATTTGTTACTTTTTTTTATTTTTTTTAGATGTTCCCGAAACTACAGTAAGATTAGGGACAAATTTGGATCCGAAGAATATTAAAGAAGGGTCAGATGTATATTTTGATTGCATAATCAAAGCACATCCTTATGTATACAAAGTAGAATGGAGACATAATGTAAGTTATTTTTTTATTTAAAGGAATTAATAAATCAATTTACCTCGCTCTTGCTTAAATCTTGTAGCTTAGTTTTAATATATCAATTGTAATATTTGTGCAAAAAGTATTGAATAAATTAAATCGGACTTAGCTTGTACTAGCCGTTGCCCGTGACTTCGTCCACGCAATAATAAGATAAAAAAGTAGCCTGTAATATGCCCGTCTGTGTCAGCTACCCTTCAGTGAAAGTCCCATCGAAATGTGCTCAGCCGTTTCGGAGGTTATCCGGAACAAACACTGCTTGCGGACAGACAGACAAGAAAATTTTTTAGATGCGATTTTCGTTATTAGCAATGCAAATACATCATCTTCCCGAAATCTGATTTTTTTCCTTTTGATATTACATACAGACACTCCAATTTTATTATATGTATGTTGTAGATAAATTACAGGGAATTTTAAGATGAGGTTCCTATTATATGAATATTATTTTTAAAAGTTGAAAATTATCATTTTGACTGTTATTTCAGGGTAAATCACTAGTACATAATGTAGGACATGGAATAATAATAACGAACCAGTCTCTAGTGTTACAAGGCGTTGGAAGGAAAACAGCTGGAAATTACACGTGCGTCGGATTCAACGCCGAGGGGGATGGGGAGAGTAAACCATTTACTTTAAACGTTTTATGTAAGTAATGTTGTATTTACAACTTAGTCTGTAGAAAAATTCAACAAAATAATGTTTAAAAATTTAATCTAGGAATTTGAAATCATAGTTTCAGCAGTGCAAAATGTACGAAACTACAAGTGAAATTGAAATTAGACGATAAGAAATTTAAATATCAATTATTTCAATAATAGAGTTAGAAGTTACAATAAAATACAATTTATAGGTAATAATAAATAAATAAATAAATTACAGGTGCAATGTGAAAAATATACAGATACTTTAAATAAAAAATAGCAAATCATTGTAACAAAAAACAATCCTCAACACTAAACAGCTTTCCGGAAGCCAGAACATAAGTTTACTTTGAAACTATCTGGTTCTCGCGATTTAGTTAACTTGAAATTTAAAATTATAACCTATATTACTCAGCAATAACGTAGCTTTTTAATTGTGAAAAAATTTTTGAAATCGAACCAGTAGTTACAATACTTACAAAAATCCAGAAATACAAATATATTCTCTTTAACATTTACATTTACAAGATGTGAAGTAATGAGTATTGTGCAGATGCCCCGACGTGCCGCAGCTCGCAGCAGCGGGTGCACGGTGTTGCTAAGCAGGAGCGCGCGCATATCACCTGCCACGTGGACGCCAACCCCGCTGATGTCAGCGTCAGTACTCATGCACATTATGTTACCTACCTTTCACCATACCACCACTGCAATTACTATTAGTATCTAGCCACACTTACAACTTGGTAGATATGTGCATCTTAGCTGATAGTAACAAAGACTTACAACTCGTAGTTGATTTTCCACTGCTTGTTTCATTTTCTGTTCGTTTATTACGAATACCAGATCATCAGATTATGTTGCTCGCGAGTCTATCCGCGTAGAATTTAAAAAAAGTAAGTAGCTTATGTGTTCCAGACTATTCTTTACATTTATGCCAAACTTCATGAAGATCCGTTCAGCAGAGGCTACAAACTCTAACATCCATTAATCTAGTTTCGCATTTATATTATGCTTTCGCCCGTGACTTCGTCTGCGTATAATTAAAAAAAAAGAAAGTAGCCTATGTTTTCTTCCAGACTATCCTCTACATTTATGCCCAATTTCATGAAGATCCGATAAGCCAAGGCTATAAACTATAAGAAGTATCCATCTACCTAAACTTTCGCATATATAATATTAGTATAGATTTAGATGTTAATGTTTATGAACAGTTCCGGTGGACATTCAATAACACCGCAAACAGCAACGACGTGAGCGAGGGCTACGTGTCGCGCGCCGGCACCAGCTCTACCGTCAGCTACACGCCGCGCACCGAGCTGGACTACGGCACGCTGCTGTGCTGGGCGCGCAACCGCATCGGCAGGCAGCGCGTGCCTTGCGTCTACCACATCATCGCTGCCGGTCAGACTTATTCTTTAACGGCTGAAAACCAGCGCAGGAACTGCGCCGTCCCTTACAAGCTAAGCTTTTTTATATTTAATATAAAATACGTGTTTCTGATAGGCTAAAACGATGCGTCTTCCGATTCTGGGATTATTCCCAACCGTCACCCCGCTCTGTCCACACGTGAGAATAAATAGTTTCATATGTCCCACCTTTAAGTCCCGCTATCGCGAATAAGGTGACAGATGGAACCGTTATGAAATAAAATCAGTTCCAACCGTCACCTCGTCGCAAAAGGTGGGACGGATGAAACTTTTTATTCTCACCTGTTCCGACATGGGGACAGGGGGGACGGTTGGGCATAATCCCGGTTCTTTAACGAAAGGCGTCAAAATGTCGAAAAAGACAAAAAGTGACTTTTGCGGTGTTAAGACTTCAATGACAAAATGTATTTTTTTTGTGGCAATGAAACGTCTATTTATTTATTTAATGGCAAAGAGAGATAATAAACTTACCTTTCCAAAAAAATGTGTAAAGAATTTCCTATGTTTTTTGTATACGCGAAAATAGAGGTTATTTTATAAGTAAAATTTCTTACAGGTCGACCAGATCAAGTTCACAATTGCACAGTCGTGAACGCATCATTAACTTCATTTGGTGTTCGTTGTTCAGAAGGATTTAATGGCGGATTACCACAATCGTTTCTACTTGAAGTCCGGGAAATAGTTACACAGGTAACGGGATAAATTATTTTCTAGATTATGTCTAATTAACGTGAAGTTTACAGTACACTCAAGAGCAATGAATCCGGGTCACTTAAAAAAAACTATAAATTACGCAAACTAAAAATGCTAGCTTAAAGAAATAAACGATGTTTAGTAGACAATTAAATACTACTGAAATTGAGGTATAAAAATCACGAAGATAAATGGGAGAATTTAACGAAAATCGTATATAAAATTGGTGTACAGTGTACTAACGCGTAAACGCAATAGAGGAAGAAAAAGGAGGCAACAAACACATTGAAATTCAAGAAAATCATATTGTTGTACAAAAAGTCATGTTTTTTATGTTTGTATTAAAAATATCAGCAGTATCTGTTTTTTGTTAAGTAAACCTCAATCTGTAACATGTAATGACTTATAATTGTTATTTAATTTTAGGGGTATAATATTGTCTATTAAACACCCTTTATTTCATTAAGATAGCAAGAAAGCATTCTTAGTTTACGAGATTTTTATTTTATTTTTTATGAGACCCATATTCATTGCTCTTGAGTGTATGACACTAATGACCGTGTATTTTACAGGAAATTATAGGAAATGTATCGAGCGCTGTGCCGCGCTTTACTGCCGTTGGTTTAGAACCAGGCAGGACGTACGCGGCTGCAGTTCTAGCATACAATGCTAAAGGGCGAGGAGACCCGTACCCGCTGAGAGCGAGCACGCTGCGCCCTCCAGAGAAACACCACGTACATGATAAGAGTTTAGGTAAACATAATATTTGATTATAAATGTCATTCAATTTTGTTGCGACATTTTTAATCTGATAATGTTATCAAGTTCTAAATCTAAGGCCCTGTCCCACCACTGGGTGATAGAGGCTCAGATAACTTCAAAATGACGTCACAGACAGATAAGATAACAAGATCCGATATTTTCATCAAATATTTTACACGTTGGATTATCAATTTACAATTTGGTGGGACAGACCCTTAATCTAGTTAATCTTTATATCATTTTAATATTTTGTAAGCAATGATGATTAGATTGTCATCATAAGCTGTAGCAAATTTCAATGTTTTATGTATTTTATGAGGTTACATGATTACTGATATGTTTAGAGCGCACACCTTTGACTAAACTATCGCACAACTGTTGTGCGATTGTCGATTGTTTCGCAGCTTCAACTGTTTTTGCACCAATAAAAATCGTATACCTCCATATAAGATCATAGAAATCAAAGCGGGACTAAACAGCCGATAGTGTGCGCGCTCTAAGTGTAAATTTCTCTTCTATCAGATTTACCAAGAACAGCGTTCCAAATATCCGGAGCGATGTCAGCGGCGGTAGGGTGCGGGGGCGTGCTGATGGTGGTGCTAGTGCTCCTCATGCTAGCAGTGCGACAGAAGTGCGCCAAGAGGAAGCCGCGTTCTGCGCCGCCGCCCTCGCAGCCCGCCTCGCCGGACAAACTGCGAGAGAAGGACGACAGTGAGAGTGATGACAGGAATCCTGATATTATACCATCCGACACAGATCATATGCAGGTAACAATAAAACACATATCTAATCTTATTAATATCTATACTAATGTTATAAAGAGGAAACATTTTGATTTTTGTATATATTGGAATAACTCAATAACTACTTGGCCGATTAAAAAAATCTAGCACTATTAAAAAGCTATGTTATCAATGAGTAATATAAGCTATATTTTTTATTGTTTTCGAATTGCACGCAGACGAAATCGCGAGCAACAGTTAGTATGCGAAAGTTTTGATTGATGTTTGTTATAATTTGTTAGATATAGAGGATTGTCTGGAAGAACACATAGGCTAGTTACTTTTTTAATTCCACCCGGACGGAGTCGCAGACAGAAGCTAGTAGATTATAAAGCAATCTAATTTGTTTTACTTAAATAGACTACAGGTCTAGAAATATTGAAGTTTTGATGCTATATTTCATTAAAATCCTGGTATTAGAAGATACTTATTCGATGAACGACGATTATTATTGCTGAAATTAATAATGTTAACTTATTTTAGATCGACTACTTCCGCCAGCAGCAAGTGTCGACAATCTCCCCTCCGCCGGGAAGCAGGGCGGCGCGGGGCAGCGTGGCGGGGGTGCGGGGCGGCATTCCCGCTTACTGTCCGCTCAGGACAGCTCCGCCGGGACATCCACAAATGCACGATACTACGGTAAGTAAAGTTCCGCTTAGTGTCCACTTAGCGTCACACATTTAGTTGAATGCTACTAAACTATATACAACTGTTGTGCGATTGTCGATTGTTTGGAAGTTCAACTGTTTAGTTGCACAACTGTAAATCGAATTTTATACCTCTACTAGCTGTTCCAGTGCGATTTCATTCGCATGAAATTATGAAAATTGTTCTATTGATTACATTTGTCAAATTCAATTGCAAATGTCAAAATGACAGACATGATATGACGACAAAGCATGGCAATTTTGCTTGCTTGATGTTGGCAGCAACTTATGGTCTCTTTCCCACATTAGGGTTTTTATCCAAAATGTTTGCCCCTTAAGTTTAATGGCATGAAAATATATAGCCTAAAGCGTGACGTAAGTGTAGGGCTTTTTATTAAAAAAATATTCAAAAACATGCTGTAATTGCTGACATCTTAGGCAACAAAGAAGTGTGTGTTTACGCTTTATTATAATAGTATACAAGTATACATATGAGGTTATAGGAATCAACGCGCGACAAAACAGTTGTGCGATAGTTTATCCAAGATTAATGTTCACTAACTCAATAAAACGTTATTCCAGTTATGACTAATTGATTTTAAGGATTTCACTAATTTCGAAATTTAAATTAATCACTTGCTTGAGATTATAACATTAGTTAGGGCAAGCGATTTACATAGTATGAATAATTGTTGTTGGGCTCTTTGTCTAATGGTTGTTTGTGATTAGTTCGAGTTCAGTCTCGGCTTTGAACTTAATTGTTTTGTAATAATATTCGAAAATAGTTGCTATGATTGAATTATGTTTCTGATAACAATTATGTAGCTTACAATAACATGATTTTAAGGCCAGTGATTAGTAAAATTAACTTTAAAGTACCATTTGGGTATAAATTTCGAGAAAAAATAATCTCAAGTATATGTTAATATGTGTAATGTTTGTCATTAGTAGTATTTTTGATGGTTTATATTCTTATCTTACTAATATTATAAATACGAAAGTTTAGATGGACGGATGGATGTTTGTTAGAATTTGTAGCCTTAACGGCTGAACGGATCTCCATGAAATTTGGCATAGACTTAGAGGATAGTCTGGAAGAACATAGGCTACTAACTTTTGTTTTTTTTTAATTACTCGCCGACGGAGTCGCGGGCGAAAGCAAGTATTGAATAAAAATAACATTTAATTATAATGATGTGATATTTAAGACATTCTCTCTGCAACCATATCTTTATTTTAAAGTAACTTTAGTACTCTGATATTCCACGTTAAAATCATAAGGATTTTTTTCATTCTTCATCCTTAATTATACGAATGGAAATCCATCAAATTTCTCAAACAAACTCCTATAGTTTCTTTACCCTGCTTCAGTATACCAAGTTTAAAATAGGTTTTAAAAATGTATTTCGAGTTCAATTTGTACCCTCCGGAAGGAAATGTCTACATTTCATTTGTACGTAATTATACAAGAAATGTCCATAAAAGCGACTAATTTAATTAAAAAAGGATCAAGAGAAAACACAATTAGAAAAAAGGTCTCCGTTAATTAGGGGACTAGATTTACAGAATGGACAATTTAAAGGGTATTTTAAAAAAAATAAAAGCAATCAGTCAGTTTGTTCTGAGTAAAGTGGAAACTTTTTTAAATTAGTGATGAAATTTATAAGTAACTAGTTGTTGGTCGCGACTTCGGCCGCGTGAAATTAAAAAATGCTAAAAAACATAGCCTATGTTTCTCACAGATAGATTACCTTGCTAATGATGAAAGAATTTTTAAAATCGGCCCAGTAGTTTTCACATGAATCAAATACATACAAAAATTCGAATCTTTCCTCTTTACAATATTAGTATACATATCGATTTAGATAAGCAAACTCTTTAAATCCTGTGTAAGTTAAAAACTAAAAAAAAAATTCAAAGCTAATATTTGTCAGCAATCTTTATTGTATCTTTATACCTTTACTGAATCCTCTTAAAATTTCTAGAGCGCACCATCGAGCATTCCGCCTCCGGCGCGATTCGCTAGCGGTGCGTGTACCCTACCGCGCGGAGCGGGCGCGTGCGGCACAAGCGGGGCGGGCATCCCGCTGCAGCACCTTCGCACGTTGCCGCGCCCGCTGCCCGCCCCCGCGCCCGCACCGCGCCACACGCCGCGCGACACCCCACTCTGACAAACAACGCAACTTTAGAACAAGTGTACATAAAACAGACTTTCAAAGAATGCTCAAAGTTTTTAGAAGCTTTGGATATAGCGAACGGTTTACGTACCACGAATTGACCTACTTTCGTTTCAAAAGTTTGACACGCTAAGTATTAATTTTGATACACTAGAAAAATTACCTTAATTAGTGAAAATGATATTGTATATTATTTAATATGAGTAATAACTAAATCTCGCTAAGTTTTAATTAAATTTATAGTTAGGGTGAACGAAATTTGAACTGTGTTATGGTTTGTTTGTAATATAATTGTAAATACATTTAATGATATTCCAATGGATAATTTAGGTAATATAAATAATTAATAATAGTTTAATAATGTTATACGAGTGTGAGTGAAACGGATTTAAAAGGTTTATTGAATTTTTGTTAAATCTTCCGCTTTTGTTTTAATAGAAATATAATTAAATTTGTTTTGAAAAGGTTGTGAAATCATCGTAAAATAATTTAAAAGATGTAAGCTTCCATTTTGTTTAAGATCAAAAAAATAATTTTATAAGCATTAGTACTAGATACATTTTATTTTTAAATAATTATTTTGTCCAGAATTCTTTGTTGAAAAAATAAAATAACTCATTTGTAGCTTTGTGAGACATATCCGTATTTAAGTTTTGCTGTTAGATTTTATTTATTGTATTTAAAATTTATAAGTTCTCAGAGAGAAACAAGTTTTAATTTTGTCGAAATGTTGTCATTTTGTCTATTATATTGTATGATAACATAAATAAAATAGTGACAGTTGAATGATGCTAGGCTGCTAGGGAATTATAAAAAAGTTTCGACTTACTAAAAGAAATTCTGATTCTAAAAGAGATAAATATATCAATTTTATAAATTCGTTGATATTTAAATACGTTTGAAAATGTAACGAAGGGCAATGATATTAGACTTTTATAAAATACAAAATGGAAATTTGTATAAATTATTACTAGTCGCTATCATCGCCAAATTCTTTATAATGTGACATAGGCCTTATAATTCTCACATTGTTACCTACAATCCTATTCTTAATTTACTAATTGTTTAATCTTACTCTACAGTGTACTTCTAACGAATACTAACGCTAAATTAATAACTTTGAACTTCATAATCTTTCCATAAATCTGGGACTTATCCCGAAAAATTGGGAAAGACTTCGCAAAGTCATCGAGAAAATTTGTGTTAGAATTGTCGTGCGCCCCTAACTGGCGTATAGTGACAAATGTCATACAAATTTTGTCGAGATTACTAATACTTTCCCACAAATATTCGTGTTAACCTCCTATCTCTTACATAGCTAATAAATATTACAAGTAAGGGTTGGTTTACACCAAATTGAATAAAGGAATAAAGTTATTTTTACATAAAACGATTAATAAATAATGAATAGGATAAACTATTTTATTTTAGTGAAATATCAAAAATTGTAACAATTATTTTACGTCGAAACAAAATTCAATAAAATATGAATTCACATTACACAATTAGTTTTATGCACAATGAAATAAATTTCACAAAACTGGTTTACAAATGTTTGTTAAAATATGCTAAAAGCGTCGGAATATGCTGAAATGCACAATATTAATAATTAATTTCTAAAAGAGGTTAATTTCACATTTGCATGAATAATTTTGTCGCATTAAATAATTGTTTCGTTAAAAGATAATACAACGCACAGAATTGTTGTAAAGATTTTCAAAAGCCATAAATTTCCCTTTAAAAACTCATATATACATTGTTCCAAATAATCTCATTGCAATTCTTAATTGATCTAAAGCTACATGGGCTAAGTTAAAACAATTTTTTTTTTCATATTTAAATCTGTATTTAAATATGGAAAAAGCTCTAATCTACTAAGTAAAAGTTTCTTTTATTATTTGATTGGTAAATCAAAACAAGTCATTTTGAAGCAGCGACCTATTTAGCATGCATCTCTAGAGATCATTTGAAAAACGCTACCGCTTGTCACCTGCTGCAATACTTTTCTGTGAGCATATAGAAAAGTCTCTCTGTACACTAATTTTGTAATGTGAATTAATGGAAAATATCCATACATATGTGATATCATTTTAATAATTTGTATGTTTTTGTTAAGCTATTCAATAAATATAGATTAAATAAAGCTTAAGTTGTTGATTGAGAAAATTGTAAATAGTTTAAATGAGGTTTTTCTTAACTACCGGCAGTGTCGGTTTCATTAAAATATTGAAAACGAAAATAAAACATAATTTTCAAAAATGTTACTTCAGTGTTTTAATTCATAATAACATTAACCTATAAAAAATACTAGCTGTTCCTGTACTACTTCATCCGCATGAAATTATGAAAATTTTATTTTATTGTTTAAATGTGTCAAATTTTCAATTACAAATGTCTAAATGATATGACATGTTGACAACCTTGCTTCTTTGATGTTGGCAGCAACTTACGGACTCTACCACATTAGGGTTTTTATCCAAAACATTTACCATAAGTTTAATAGCGTTAAAATTTATAGTCTAAAGCGTGATGCAAGTGTAGGGCTTTTTATTAAAAAAATAGTAATTCAAAAATATGCTGTAATTGCTGACATCTTAGGTAACAAAGAAGTTTGTGTTTACGCTTAATTATAATAACCATAATAGCCATAACCCAAATGGATTTTTGAAAAACAATTTGAGATCCAAACACCATTAATCCAAAAAAAATTATTCAAAATTTAGTTATTATAATACTGAAGTTTGTACCTCAATAAAATAACTTTTATTGACGAATCTTCGGTCATAATGGTAACAACCATTAAAACGCGCGCACACTTTGACTAAACTATCGACCAACTGTTTAGTCTCGCGTTAATTCCTATAAGCTAATATAGAGGTGCATAAACTACTCTATTAGTTGTGGGAAAAAACAGTTGATTTCGCTGAAAACAATTGAGATACGCAAAACTTTTTTGCGATAATTTTGTCAAAGATATGCGCTCGTCTTTTTGTTTCGGAGCCATTTACGTAAGACCCGCATCTTATGCAGGCTATATACATTAGGTGTTGGACAACAGTCTTGAAGCACATAACCTACAGCCATACACTAGCGTGTAGCAAAACTGTTACTATAAATTCGATACTACAAGGTAACTGTGCAAACCCTAACGTGTGTCACTTACATTATGTTTTGTGTGTGCCGGCTTCATTGCGTTTTTCAGGACAGGCTTATGTATGGCTTGAAGGGTTTTTACTATCCGTTGGCAGTTTCCATTACAATAAAAGGATTTTCTCCGAAATCAGCTTTCAACACGCGGTATACTGTTTGTGTATCCATTTTTGTTTTGTGTGGTATTTTTTGTTATATCACATACTAGCTTTTGCTCGCGTATCTGTCCGGGTGGAATTAAAAAAAGCTAGAGGACATTTAGACTATCCTTTAAATCTATGGTAAAAATAATCAAGATCCGTTAAGCCGTTTAGGCTACAAACTCTAAAAAAACATCCATTTATATAAACTTTCACATTAAATATTAGTAATAAGTTAACTTTTAAAACTTAAAACTTTTAACTTTTGTGAAATAAGTAGTAAGATTTAATTTAATGTAAATATTCACTTTTAAAATTTGCTATGTCATTTTAATTTCTTAAGAGAGATTTGCAAATATAAGAACACCAAATAGGCCATAGGTGGAGGAAATATCGCATTTGCAAATGCAAATATCTATGGACTAAAGTCGCTTCACTATTTTTACGAATTCCGATGGCCGTTGCCACAATATACTATAAAAAAAATTAAAGATACATATTTTTTTATTTAAGAACGAATAGATATCGGTCCAATTATATTTCTAGTAGTTAGTTATATTTTTCGTAAGCTGTTAAAATGTGAGAACTGCAGTAAATCATGTGTATTTCTATACCAGTGAATTAAAACCATAAATAAAGTTAAAATTTATGTTTCACGCTCTCAAGTTATAAATTGTATTAACAACACGTGCTAGGATTTACGAATGAACGAAGCTGATTAATGAAATACAAAATTCAAGACTGAGTTGTTATTTATTTATAAAAATATCGTATTAAACTAAAAGTTTAAAAAGCTAGGTAAAAAGGTTACATATTACAATTGATTTTCAAGTGATATTTCGTAAATTATTAGTTTAGGGGCGTTTCATTTGGCCAAATTATATTTTTCCCCATTTAGTTAATTGAATACATTGGCCTAATGGAAAGAATCTAAGGATTCAATGAACATAATACATCATCATCATCATCTTCTTTCTCTTTATCTTACTCCCGTAAGGTCGGCCCAACGGGTTTTGTCCTCCACATAACTCTATCATACGTCATCCCTTTTTTTTTTTTTTTTTTT